TTGGCACCCTTCTCAAGCTACCCGAGGTACCTCGTCAAAAGCCACAACCGGACGGCCGCTTCACCGCCGGGTTTTGCGGCCATCATGGTCGGTGAGCGGCTGGACTTCAACGGGTTTAGGGTTTATGACCTTCACCCTATACCCTGAACACTAGACCGTGAGCCCTGAACCCTAAACCCTAACGTTATTTCTCGTGCGCAAAAACGGCCAGACTTGGCCTAAACCATAATATCCCGAAGCCATTGCCCCATAAACCCTAAGCCCAAAACACTGAACCTTCATGTAGAAGCCTAAATGATGACCAATACTATTCTTCGGGTTCCTAAACCCTAAACCCTAAACCCTAAACCCTAAACCCTAAACCCTAAACCCTAAACCCTAAACCCTAAACCCCAAACCCTAAACCGTGATACGAGAAAGGAGCCCCCGACCCTATTCTCATTATTCAGGCCCCTATAGCACGTAAACTGTAGGGGCCCTATAGTACGTAGTCTGTAGGGTTCACGGTATCGGATCTGGGGTTCAGGGTGTGGGTTGTCAGGTTTTGGGATTCAGGGTTCAAGGATACGGGATTTTAGTTTGAAGCTTGACGTTAAGCGAGATTTTTAGGGGATTTTCTAGGGTTTCCTGAACGTAGTTTTTGGTTTTCTTGTTATGACGCGTGGTGCGGAGCCCTTCCGTTGCGGGTTTTGGGAAACTTTAGGCTGAGGGAGAAGCGCTTTAAAGCGCTTACGGTTCGTAGCGTTCCGTGCCTGAGGGTTTAGGGTTTCGGGTTGGGCTGCAGGTCTCGGGATGCTAAACGGAAACAAGAGACCGTAATATAAACCCTCAGTTGTAGGATCCTGTAATTCAGGTGCCCGAAACCCTAAACTCTACCCCTTCAGCCCCCAACACTAAGAATTTGGTGATAAGGTACCTGTGTAGAGTTCCAGGTTGTCGTGACACTTACCCATGAGTGTAGCCATTACCCAGCTCGAAGCTTTCCAGAGTTTTTTTAAAAGTGGCCTTCGTATTGGACTTGCAGTGTAGTGAACATGTCAACAAACGGGTCGGTAATACTCTACCTTGGGGTCCCTAAGCCCATTTATTGTACAGCATCCCCCAAAACATTCAGTCGCCTAGACTGATTAGGTTGTTTGAAACTGCCCCTGCAAATAGCGGTTTAGATATTTCCCTGGTCGGGTGTGTTTTTCCGCAGGGGCTTCGGTGTCGACAGCTCCACCTCGCACTCGTTTCGGATGAGTTTGGGGCATGGGCTCCTGGTCTAGTAGGCTTAGTAACTGAGTGAGTACACTTTACACTTTTTGGGATAATATGATCCCTTACAGAACTGAAAGTGTACACTTTTTGGGGCTTATGAACTCAGCAACTAAGTAGGGGCTGTTGGGTCCACCTGCGTCCTCCAGATCCCGAACCCACCAAGCACGAAAACGCGGACACCTGAGCCCCAAATTTGGTACGAAATGGCAGTTTCAGAAAAGAAGGGACCCCAGTCTAGAAACCTGCGCGGACCCCTAAACCCTAAACCCTAAACCCTAAACCTGAAACCCTAAACCCTAACCCTAAACCCTAAACCCTAAACCCTAAACCCTAAACCCTAAACGGATGTCTTGGCTGCCCCTCAAAACGGACCTGCGATTGGCCCAGGTTCGGGCTACCCCAAAGCCGGGTACCCCTGCAGGACGTGAGCTACGTCCTAGGCATTTTCGGGGAGGGGGGGGGGTTTAGGGTTTAGGGTTTAGGGTTTAAGGTTTAAGGTTTAGGGTTTAGGGTTTAGGGTTTAGGGAATAGGGTTTGGGGTTTAAGTTTTAGGGGGGCGCTTTGGGTTAATTTTTGTATCTGGCTTTAGGGTGTCAGGGCTATGTAACCCGCGAACTCACGCTGAACACTTTCCTCCTCTTATCCGATACCTTAGATAAAGCTTCCCCAACACCCACATGGGAGTTTCAAAACAAAGTCGGGGATGCAGTTTGTGGCCCTGAAGAGCAGGATTGAGTCTGGTGGCACTAGACCCCAAGAACCCAAAACCCACTTTTTTGTCGGTTCTTATTATAAACCCTAATATGGGATTTATAGGGACCCTACAAAAAAGTAGGTTTTGGGTTCTTAAGGTAGACCCTAACCCCTGCACCCTTTCCCAGCACCGGAAACCTTTTGTTCTGGCGGCTGGCGTCCTGGACCGAGCTAGTTCTAGAGGCAACGTCATCAACGCCGCTCTCTCCCTGGGCGTGGCGTACGTGATGTTCTGGGAGACTTACTGCAACGATGCTTAGCTGCAGCTTCGTGTTTCGGACGTGGGGTGTAGGGATATGGCAGTTGGGGGTTGAGGGTTTAGGGTTTACGGTTAGGGTCTAGGGTTTAGGGTTTAGGGTTTAGGGTTTAGGGTTTTGTTGCGCCGTTCCGAGCCAGAAGTCTGTGTCCTAGGCCCCTGGGTTAAGGGCCAGAAACTACCATTACCATACCTGCTTCTAATGGGGTCATATGGACAACCCCGAAAAGATTTCTGAGGCCCCTACGAAAGCAGTCAGGTTTTTTCAGGACTTAAACCTTAAACCCTAAACCCTAAACCCTAAACCCTAAACCCTAAACCCTAAACCCTTAGCCGAAGGAAGTCCTACTAAGGAGCCCTAAAGGTGCAGCTTCTTTCAGCTTCACGGTAGGACCCAGGGGGCCCAACGTCCGAATGCTGCAATCCTGAACCCAAAACCCTAGACCCTAAACCCTGAACCCTAAATCCTAAACCCTAGACCCTAAACCCTGAATCCTAAACCCAAAGCCCTAGACCCTAGACCCAAAACCCACAACCCTAGACCCTAGACCCAAAACCCAAAACCCTAGACCTAGACCCTAGACCCTAGACCCAAAACCCTAGACCCTAGACCCTAAGCCTTAAATCCTAAACCCAAAACCCTTGACCCTAAACCCTAAACCCTAAACCCTGAATCCTAAACCCAAAACCCTGGACCCTAAACCCTAAATCCTAAACCCTAGACCCTCAACCTTGAAAAAGGAGTGCCACCAGTCAGCTGTGGGCTGCGACGCGGCTGGGCGGTGTCGACAGCCGGAGGTCTGGTCGCTTCGATGAGGGGCGAGGGTTTAGGTTAGGGTTCAGGGGTTTGGGGGTTTGGGGGTTTGGGGGTTTAGGGTTTAGGGTTTAGGGGTTTAGGGTATGGCTTTTGGGGTGTAGATTTAGGGGTTTTGGTTTTTAGGGCTGTTAGGGTTTACGTTTCCGGGTTTAGCGTTTGGGGTGTTGGGGTTCATCGTTTGGGGGTTTAGAGTTTGGGGTTTTGGGGCTTTTGGTTTGTGGTTCACTGAGTGCTACAGGGCTTGACCTTGAGATCCTTATTATGCCGGGATAGGAAGTACTATTGTGGTCAGCATGGTTCAGACAAAGCAATGACGTCGCAGTAGCTTAAGTAACCTTGAGCAAGTTTTGCGTATTGTAGGCCTTATATAATATTATCCCCAAGGTTGAGGGACAGCCTGCACTCCTCTGTGTTTCTCTGCTAGCGACGCTATTCCCCGGGCTTCATTCAGATAGTCACAGTATCGAAGCACTGAAAACCCCGGGTAATTAAATGGTTCAGGCCTCTGTGTCCAATCCTACAACACCCATATAAATCTCATCAGAGTCTTCTAAAATCTGTCTCGCCAAACTCTGCGAATCCCAACACCAGACCCTTGCGGTGTTCAAAAGTTTCTGAATGTAGGGCCTGAATCATTGCCAATACTGCTCTTCTGGGTTCCTTCATAAAGTTATAGCAACCCTAAACCCTAAACCCTAAACCCTAAACCCTAAACCCTAAAAAAAACCAAAAAATCCGCAAGCAATCCGAAGCGCTAAACCCTAAACCTCAGCCCGAAGACGATGGAAGTCCTAGAGCCCGAACTGCGCAACAAAAAGGCATAATTAATCCTTAGATCCTTAATAACCCTCATGCTGAAGGCCTTTAGGGTTTAGGGTTTAGGGTTTAGGGTTTAGGGTTTAATAACCCTCATGCTGAAGGCCTAACCCCACAAGTCTTAGCTTCACTAAACCCTAGAGGCCTTAAGTGCAAAAAGTCCTGATACCCTACACCCTACACTCTACACCCTAAACCCTGAACCCTAAAGCCGAAACCCTAAACCCTAAACCCTAAACGGCCCTAAACCCTAAAGCCTAAACCCTAAACCCTAAACCCTAAACCCAATCAGAACCAGACCCCGCGGACGCGCGGACCCCCCGGGAGGCGCCTGTGCAGAACGCATCGCAGCTGAATGGCTTCTGGCTGCTGCGGCCCGATGGCCCCACGGCCGAAGCCTTGAGCCCGACTCTCTCTGTCTAGGTTCCCCAGTAGTACCCTTTTGCCCTTCTTCTTCTTGGGTTCCCTTATTAAAGACCAAACAGTAGGAAAAAGGGTACCCTTATTATTAAGGGGCTATTGGGGAACCGAGCTATAGACTTGAGAGTTCTAGAGGTTCAGGACTATAGGGTTTAGGGTTTCGGGTTAGATTATAGGGGCCTTCATCTTGTGATGTAAGGTCAGACCCGAAGTCTTAAACCCTAAAACCTAAAACCCCAAACCCTAAACCCAAAACCTTAAAGCCCTAAACCCTAAACCCTTTATAGGGAACCTCCAAGAAGCGCCGTCTTGAAGAGGTTCGTTAGCCTGGCCGGCGCAGTACTACAAGGCCAAGCTCGGCAATGCACCTCCGTCGGCTGTTTAGGGTTTAGGAAACCCTAGGGTTAAGGGTTTAGGGGTCTAGGGGTTTAGGGGTTTCGGGGTTTAGGGGCTTAGGGGCTTAGGGGTTTAGGGTTTAGGGGTCTAGGGGTTTCGGGGTTTAGGGGTCTAGGGGTTTCGGGGTTTAGGGTTTTAGGGGTTTAGGGTTTAGGGGTCTAGGGGTTTCGGGGTTTAGGGTTTAGGGTTTAGGGGTTTAGGGTTTTAGGGTCTAGGGGTTTCGGGTTTAGGGAACCCTAAACCTGAGACCTGTTAGGGTTCCTTTTCAGGGTTCCTTTGAGG